CTAGAAATCTTTATGCAGGGATTGGAGAAGGTCAATCAACTACACGGCCACCTCTTTTTGATGGAACCAATTATACATATTGGAAAGAACGAATGAGAATCTATATTCGTTCCACGAACTTCCAATTATGGTTGGTTATCAAAAACGGGGAAGAGGTGCCGATGAAGAAAGTCGGAGACAAGTTGATCCCCAAGACCGAAGACGAGTTTGATGCCGAGGACATCAAAAAGGTCGAGAATTACGCAAAGGCAATAAACATGCTTTATTGTGCCGTAAATCCTGACGACTACCGCAAGATCTTCTGCTGCTCAACCGCCAAGGAGATGTGGGATAAACTTGAGGTGACGTACGAAGGAACGGACCAAGTACGTGAAGCCAAGATTGACTTCCTCACCCAAGAATATGAGATGTTCAGGATGAAGGAGCACGAGAAGATTGACGACATGTTCGACCGATTTTCCAAGATAGTCAACGATCTTCATGCATTGAAGAAGACTTGCACCGACAGGGATCTTGTACGAAAGATCCTACGGAGCTTGACATCCGAATGGCGATCTAAGGCCGATTCCATCTATGAGTCAATCGGCACATCAAATGTCACCATCGACGGTTTAAGAGGTAACTTAAAAACTTATGAATCTACTATACTTAACCCGTCTTTGAATGACCAAAGGAAAGGCATAGCATTAAAAGCCTTCAAAGAACCAACGATGAATGATTCAAGCGACGATGATGAAGTCAAGCTTGTCATGAAAAAGTTTTGCAAGCTTCTAAGGAAGAAAGAAAAGGTTGAGGATGACCCTATGTGCTATGGATGTGGTGAAGCCGGGCACATCAGGAACAAATGTCCAAGAAGCGGAAGGAATGCTCGTCACTTCAAAAAGCAAAGAGCATACATCTCTTGGGGTGGCGACTCTGGCGATGAGTCAAGCGAGCAAGAGGAAGACGAAGAAGCAAACCTTTGTCTCATAGCTCAAGAAGAAGAGGAGTCCGACAACGGCGAAAACCAAGAGGTATGTAATTCTTCTACTGTTTCTTATTCTCTTGAAGAAATGCAAGAAGCTCTTCAAGAGCTTTATAACGAGTTTGTTAGCGCTTCTAAAACCAACAAAGCTTTAAAGAAACGTTTTTTTAATCTTGAAACTGACCTTGAAAAACTTCAAAAGGAAAACGAAAAACTAAAAGAGGAAAATAAGTTTTATGGTAAAAGAAGCGCCGACAAACCCGAGAGCTCTACGAAACATTGTGACACTTGCATAGCTTTGAAAGAACAAGTCACAAAACTTGAGAGTACAGTATTATATAAAGAAAAATAAAATATCATTATTTTATAAAACTTTTAATGTACTTCTCAATATGTAAATTTTATTTTAAATATAAATTGATTAAAAAATAAATTAAAGTGATTATAATTTTAATCAAATATCATAAAATTTTATGTACATATGAAAGGAGTTATTTTTATTTTATACAAAATAATCATATATATATATATATATATATATATATGTATGTATGTATGTATGTATATGTATATGTATATGTATATGTATATGTATATGTATATGTATATGTATATGTATATGTATATGTATATGTATATGTATGTATAAAATATGTTTAAACCACTGGTTCGACCAGTAAACCAGTACTTGGACCAGTTCGATCACTGATTTGGTTCTTAAAACTATGATTAATACTCTAAATAAAGACTTTACTTTCAATAATACTTCATCCCCTTGGAGATGTTCTTATGGTTCGATACTTTGATAGGCGATTATATATGTATAGGATGTTAGAATTTCTTTCTATTTAATTATTTTGAGTATATGTTTTTATTTTTTAAAAACTCCCTATCAAAAAAGCCTTTAAATTTCTTTCTTAAAAATATATAATTAAAAAAAAAGTCATTCACAAAAAATTTCAAAAGACTCACAAAAAGTTTAGAAGAATTGTTGCATATTTATCGGTCAACTTCTCATACTGAAAGCTGATTGATTTCGCTAGTTGCGCCATTTCTCAAGATCCGTTTTCGATTCCGAATCAACTGATATTTCCGATTGATCCACCTCAGATTTACAATACCTCCGAGCACTCACATTACCGTTGGAAGTGAGACATCTAAAATTGGTCCAATCAAAGAGCTTGTACCAATGGCTAGAGGTTCATAAGTTCATTGATGGAAAATCTTTTCATCTTGCCTACAAAGTGACTTGAACTTGACCAAGAAAAGAAAAAAAGATGAACCTTATCCCAAAATATCCCCTCATATCCGTTCGGACGGTCACAGAGAAAAAATAAATTAAATTTTAATCGCCGTTTGGTGGACAAAAGTAGAGTCTGCACCTAATATTTGCAAACGCCCTATGCTTAGCATAGTACGGAGTATTTCCCAACACAGTTGACAGAAATATAACTATGGTCTTACCCCCTTTGACAACTGGGCAAGACAAATTCGGCCATTCCAACTTGTCACACACGGAGCAGTAAATAATTTTGTTAACATCAATAAAAGACAAACTCAATGCATTCTTTTTCTTTTTGTTATTGTACATTCCTTCCATGAATTTGAGTTCAATACCCAGCAACACCCAGCTGAAACAAGTCTAAATTGAAAGAATAAAACTTGGCTGAAAAGTACAACACAAAAACAGGAAAAATGAAAGGTTAGCCAAAGAACACATCTACCAAAGGAAAAGCATTCCTTATGTTGTTCAATCATCTCTTTTCATACAAACCGCCTTCTGAAGCCCCGTGTAGCGGACTGGTAGGTGCTGACTAGTAAACCGACCCCAATTCCGACACCCACGCAAATCCCAAGGCCAATCCCAACTCCTACTCTCACCCCTGCATTAAACCATGAGAGTTCCCCATCTTCCCCGTCCAAATCTTCTGTCACTCCCCAGTATGTGTTGTTATAGTCGTCTTCTTCACATTCTGGTTTATAGCTACTGTTTGATTCTGTTACCTGCCCGATCAAGTAAAGAAGAAATCCATGGTAAATGTCATAGATAGGTATTTTATTTAAATGTAAAAACTCATAGGGTCCGTTTGGTATACGGAATTGGTGGAATTGAAATTGAATTGGAATTGAAATTCCATGGGATTCAATTCCAAAGAATTGAATTCTGCCAATTCCAATTAATTTTTTACACTATCAATTCCAAATCCACATAATTTTTGTGCTACCAAACACCAGAATTGGAATTCAAGTCCTCACTTCCAATTCCATAGTTTGAATTCCATGTACCAAACGGGACCATAGAGTAATAAAACCAATATTCATGCGTAAGTGTAAAACAAGGGATGGAAAGGCCTACAAAATACATTTGTTGTTTGAGCTCAAGAAATGTTATTTCAATTAAATGCAAATGAGTTGAAAGCTGCCACCAAGTGATCTAAAGAATTTGATTCTTCAAATCATTTAAACAAAAGACAAGTTCAAGATAGTCCCGAGTATTATGAACCAAACGACACATTCAAAGGTCTTCCAAAGTAGCTAAGTAGAGTAGTGAAATCAAGAAAACAACTAAACTTAAATTTCAGGATTCATAGTTTATTTTGAATCTAATCATTTATGTCTGATGCGCTTACTACTTATTTGAGCATAATGGACTCTAATGTCAAATCAAGACTTGAAGTTCCATACTAAAAGGTAAACATGAAGTAGCCAAAAGTCCAAAGCCTTATATGTTGGTTCATTATTCGACACTCCATTTGTCCCAAAATAAGCTTTTCAATTGCTTTTGGCACAAAGTTTCAGCCGGCCCTTAATGAAAAAGTTGGCTAATGGCTAAAGTTACTCCCTCCGTCCCAATTTAATGTTCTCGGCTTAACTTTGCACGGAGCTTAAGAAAAGTGAAATTGAGTGGTTGTAGTGATGCGAAGGAGAGAGAAAGATGGTGAGCCACAAAAAGCTTTCCAAAAAAGGAAACATGAAGTTTATTTTAGACAAAGCTTTTTTTTTTGGGACAGAGGGAGTATTATTCAACAGCTTCACTTGCTTGGGCTATGTGGATATGGCATTGTATCAGAGACGAATTACATTACCATTGATCCAGACACACAAAATGATGATAGTCGATACAATACCTGCAGATGATCAAGTCCAGAAGAGACATCATGTTTTTGTGCACCATATGTTCCATCTTCAGGAATTGAACCTAACATCCCATTCCTATGATGCTTTTTCCTGTTATTAAGAAGCTGCAAACTTTTGGTTAAGATGATAGGTGTCCCAGAAAAACATCCAGTAACAAAAACTTCAATTGTTGGAGGCTGATGCGATTCAGACCCATTTATCTGTTTCCCCTTTGAGAATCCACACCCTGCACTCATCATTGTTTCGCAATTCATGCTCCATTTTCTCATGCTGTTCTTCGACTCCCCACCATTCACCTCCAAAACCCCAGAAAGCACAAGATCATCTCGGTCAAAAACCAAGAACTTCACACTCCCTGTTAGCCTTACACTGTCTGTGCTCACAAATGTGGTTTCTTCAGATTTCTTATCCACACGGTCTCTTCTCAAAATGCAAGATCCTCCTTCCGGGTACATTGAACACCACCTTGCGCCGTTCACTTCAAGGAGTGTATCAGGGCTCAGAGGTAAATGTTTTACAGTGAGGCTCTCTGGGGTCGAACCCTCTGCCATGAAACTGCTGAATCTGATATAGAACACCCGAATATCAAGCCAAGAGAGTGATGGTTTGTTGCAGCCATGGTACAATGGGTGCTTGATAATCTGGAGGCCCGAAGAATCCCCCACTCCTCCATTGACCGCCAGTGATCCATTACAATTCTCCATCTTTTTGGAGTCTTAATTATGCCCAACCTTCATCTGGAGCCCTGTTCAGATCAGCATTCTTTTCAACATCCATTTAATGCAGAAAATGTATACCAAAATGAAAGGGAGAAAAAATAATGAGAGCCTAAATTGCAGGGAGTACTTTCTTGATCTTCCCGGAAAATTTTCACATGTTGCTGGGCCAAATATACCCCACAAATGGTTTCATTTGATTGATCGAAAAACTGGTTTCATCCGATCCACAAGGAGATGTAATTGCATCTACTCTAAAATCAAGAAAAGAAAATATGCATACATAGATCCTAACTATTACATACTTACATATATTATCAGCATCATAAACCCCAGAAGGCCAAAAATTAAAGGGAGAGATCCGAATTGAAGAATCAAGGGATAAATAAAAGCAACCCACCGATAATTCATTGACAGAAACCCCAAACACGACCAAAGCTGAAATCTTTTAAATCTCTCCAAACCTCAGTTTCTCAGAAAAAAACCTAGGATATAGTTAAGATGACATAAAGAAATCGCTAGAAATACAGGTAAGCGATTTGGACACGTTTCCGCCGCAAGAAGTACCCGATTTCGACCTAAAAATAGATTTTTTAAACGAAAAAAAGAAGAGAAATTTGCAGTAAGAAATAGATACAGAACCAGTGTACAGTGCACTATCGCTTTCAAGCTCCAAAGTTAGGAGCTTTGGATCTTCTTCGGCCCAATTCTTGCGGCTGTAATTGATAGACTGTGAATCTGTGATCCCTTTCTTTGTTTTGTTTTTTATCTCCGTCTCAATCAATCAAAACTTGAATGGAATAGTGATTTTATCTTCTATATCTACCTTATCTGTAGATTATCTCATTTTTAGACTTTGTAGGTATTTGTACAAATCGTTGTTTCTTTTGATAGTGACAAAACAGACGACATGAACTATTGAATGAAAAAAATCATTTGGCGAACAATTTCACATTTTTGCTGACAAAATTTAATTTGTGCTGCACAAAAAAAAAAGCATCCTTTGTATGTGTAGCGTAAAATTAAATTGGGAATTTGGGATCCACTAAGGTGTGAGTCGTGTGACTAGTACACCTCGATTTAATTCAGATTGGTTGCAAATCCCTTTCTAAGTTACAATAACCAAAGTTTAATATTTTTATTCTAAAACAAAAAAATAATAATAAAATATTAGTTGATCCTTGTGTTAAAATGCCTTGAATCTGACTCATCACAGCTCCGAATCCGGAGAAGTCCGTTTTCTGAGAAGTCCGTTTTCGGAGAAGTCAGAGTTCGGAGGAGTCAGAATCCAGAGAAGTCAGAATCCGGAGAAGTCAGAATCCGGAGAAGTTAATTGGGCTTCTAATTATCTGTTAATTGTGTAGTTTTGGGCCCAAGTATGTTAGGGTTTAGTCAAGCACTATTTATATGGGTGCTACCACAAACCCTATGAGCTGTACTCTGTTTTGCCTCTCCTTCAGAAATAAAACTGCTCCCCCTCTTCCCCGTGGACTAGCCAACGCAACATTGGTGAACCACGTTAAATCTGTTGTTGTGTTTTTTTCTGTTTGTTCTTTGATTACTCAATACCCTATTCCGTAACAACAAACTGGTATCGGAGCTTCTGGTTCTTCCGATTAGGGATTTTCTGAATTCCGCACTGTTAGGGTTTCTTGAGTCGATCGAAGATGTCATCTGCTCTGAACGTGAAGATTGATAAATTCAACGGGAGAAATAGTTTTGGCTTGTGGCAGATCAAGATGCGATCGTTGCTGAAGCAGCAGGGATTGTGGG